GTGGTTATGGTAGTCATATCGGGCCTCATTATCTAACTTTAGTAGCTACTCATCATTGTTTATTGGTGTTTACCTATTAAGTTGTGTTAGACTAGGTTTTTTGCCTTCTTTTGGATCAACAGCAAAAACATATGTGAGGAAGGCTAAACTTGATGGATGCAAGTCTCTTTTCAGCTATGTAACTATGCAACTATATCTTCACTTAGGAGGAAAAGCACCGGGTCCTGACAGATTTAGTGCCAGTTATTATAAGACTTTTTTGGAACTTCTTTTGCCCTATATGCAAGAGGTATTTCATCTAGCCCGTCAGACCAGTAACGTTACCCCAGACTTGACTTCGGCAAATATTATTTTAATCCCCAAAAAAGATAAAGATCCATCTCATGTCAGGAATTATAGGCAGATATCTTTAATAAACGTAGATACAAAGATCCTAGCAAAAATTTTAGCCACGTGCCTCTCTCCACTTCTCCCCACTTTGATCCATGCAGGTTGATTTCATCCCAAATAGACAACTATTTGAGAATACAAGGCAAGTTGTAGACCTGGCGTGGTTTGTTGAAACAGAGAAAATACCTTCTCCAGGGCCGTCTTTAATGCGGGGAAAAAGGGGCAGCAGCCCCGGGCCTATTTGTTCCTGGGGGGCACAAAGAAGCTGTCCCTGGAGCCCGCAACAGTTTAATTAGGGGCTGACAATATTTTACCAGACTGGATCCCTTCATCATGTTTCCACGCGGGCTTGGTTCTCCCGTGGCCTGCTCGGAGAATGTGAGTTAACTTCCTACGGACAGCTAACAGAAAGCCTCATGGGGAGGAGGAGGAAGAGGCGGAGACACACATGAGTATAGATACTGAGGAATCCTGGCGCCTCAAACTCCCATCACCTTAGGTCAGCCAGCTCCCAGGGACGTCTGCAGCAAAAGTAAGGAAACGTAAATTGCCATTTATATATGTATATACCTGTGTGTGTCTGTATACCTGTGTGTCTGTGTTTGTGTACCTGTGTGTCTGTATGCCTGTGTTTGTGTATCTGTGTCAGAGTGTATGCGTGTCTGTGTGAATATGTACCTGTGTGTCAGAGTATATGTACCTGTGTGTCTGTATATTTCTGTGAGTGTATGCGTACCTGTTTGTATATGTATACATGTGTGTCTGTGTACCTGTATTAGTGTGTTTGTGTACCTGTGTGTCTGTGTACTTGTATAAGTGTGTAAAGAAAAGGTTTTTTTAGTGTAAGAACAATAAGGATGGGGAATTCTCTGCCTGAAGAAGTTGTTTTATCAGAGTCCATACAGATGTTCAAACAGCAACTAGATGCATACTTGCAAAAACAGATTATTCAAGGATATCATTTTTCAATGTAGGGTTATAGCTGCTTGATCCAAGGATTAATCTGACTGCCATTCTGGGGTCAAGAAGGAATTTTTTTCCTAGTTTGTTGCAAGTGCTTCAAACTGTTTTTTGCCTTTTTTTGGATCAACAGCAAAAAACAAATGTGAGGAAGGCTGAACTTTATGGACGCAAGTCTCTTTTCAGCTATGTAACTATGTGTACCTATGTGTCCCTATACTTCTGTTAGTGCGTATGTGTATCTATGTGTCAGTGTTTTTTTTGCTTCTCTGTGTTTCTGAGTGTGTGCATATGGCAGTGCATATACTTCTGCATGTTCGCCTGTGTGCATCTAAGTGTTTGTCCATATCTGCGTCAGTGTGTCTAAGTGTGTATCTGTGTTTGGCAATACATATACAATGCATTCCAAAGCCCACACGTCACACAGATACACCCTTCAACCCTCCACCCTCCACACAATGCCACCCCCTTTACTCTACAAATGTTACATAACCCCCCCAATCACTGTCACACTTACCTTCTCTCGCTCTATCACATTAATCCACCTAATACTGTCACACTCACCTTTCTTTCACAGTCACACTCACTCCTCAGCCCTGTCACACACATCCTCCATCACTTTGTCACACTCACCTCTTTCACCCTGCAACACACATCCTGTCACATCAATCTCACCTAATTGTGTCATGCTCACCTCCCCTTGCCCTGTCACACTTACTCCTCCAACTATGAAACATTCACCCAAACCCTGTAACACACGCCCAACGCTCATTCACCCCTCTGGCCCTGGCACACTTACTTTGCCACAGTTACCCCTTTGGAGGACGGGCCCAAGCAAATGCTTGCCAAGGGTCCAATCAATATTAAAGATGGCCCTGTCTATCACTGGAATGCCGAAAAGGCGTTTGATAGGGTTATGTGGCCCTATCTGTTTCGTTTCATTTTCTGGGTTTTTCCGGTCAATTTAATCCCTATGATCCACACTCTATATTTTAATTTAGGGGCCAGATACAACTTCCTGGATCACAGGCAGTCCCTTTTGGGATTTTCAATGGCACGCGTCAAGGGTGCCCTCTCTCCCCAATTTTATTCGCGCTCTCGTTGGGGTCCATTAAAGGTTTTTCTTTTTTCTATGTCTCCTGGCCATTTAGTTTTTTGAGAATTCTACAACATATAGTCTTCTAATAATATCCAGTACCCATTTGTCTTTTGTGGATTGCTACCATGCCTTTTGGAATAGTTTCAGGGGTGCCCCTTCTCCTCCTGACTGGGAGGGAAACCTAACATGAAGATCTGGGATTCTTGTGGAATGAAGAGCCTCTAGACTTCCCACGTCATCCACTCCATGGCTGGGATCTACCATATTCTCTTTCTGGTCTGTATTACCTGGTGCCACAAACGGAAGAGTAATCTGGATATATTTTGGAACGAAATGATTCTCAGGGTTTACAGTCTTGTGGTAGAAAAGTTATTCTTCCTTCAGCAGTTCTCTCTATGCATTCATCTAGATTTTGTCCAAATAGCTTATCTCTGTGCAAGGGTACAGCACACACACTTGATTTAGATGAGGCATCAGCTGACTAGGATCTGAGCCATAGTGCTCTGGTTGAAACAGAGTGAGCCATTTTTCTAGCTAAGGCTCTAACCATGTCTACTGAGTACTCAGAAATAAAGTCCACTGCTAGCTTTATGTCTCTTAGGCTGTCTATAAGAGTGGATCTGCTTCTGCCCTCTTTAATGTCCTCCTCCAAATTGTCTATCCAAATCTTTAATGCTCTGGATGGAACCCTGTAACTGCTGCAACATAGACTTTAAGTCCATCTTTTTATCCATGGGGTCTCTAAATGAGCCTGCATTGTCGACTGGTAGGGTAGTGCATTTAGCCAGTCTGACCACTGCAGCATCTACCTTTGGAGCAGAGACCCAAGAGCTAGAGTCCATTTTCCCAAATGGTTAAGGCGTTTCTGGGGCTTGCCTTGACGTGGCAGGTGAGCTTATATTCAAATGGCCATTGGAATAAAACTAAAGAGCCTCCCTTTTGTTTAAATGTACATAGGGATTTAGGCCAGAGCGCATGTAACATTCTCTTTATTTTTTCTATGGCAGAGAAGGCCAAGTGCCCCATAGCCAGTCATTACAATGAAAGCATCTGCCTGTCGAGGCAGATGTATCTGTCCAGGGTAGGCGCTGTCCAGGGTCGGCCTGGGGTGCTGGTCTCTGGAGGGCGTCCACCGGGAAGTGCTATCTGGGGATGCTGTGCTGGGTGAGTGGCTCCTTAGCCACCCCGTAGCGCAGCCATTTACGTGCTGGGCTCCTCTCTGCCGTTTGCCTGCTTCCTGTAGACAGGTGAAGCTGGGACATGACTTGGTATCCTGGCTGCCCATGTCAAAAAAGTTATACATTGATTTGCATGTCAATGAGTGAAATAAGTATTTGATCCCCTATCAGTCAGCAAGATTTCTGGCTCCCAGGTGTCTTTTATGCAGGTAATGAACTTAGATTAGGAGCACTCTCTTAAAAGGAGTGCTCCAAATATCAGCTTGTTACCTGTATAAAAGACACCCGTCCACAGAAGCGATAAATCAGATTCCAAACTCTCCACTATGGCCAAGACCAAAGAGCTGTCCAAGGATGTCAGGGACAAGATTGTAGACCTACAAAAGGCTGGAATGGGCTACAAGACCATCGCCAAGAAGCTTGGTGAGAAGGTGACCACAGTTGGTGCGATTATTCGCAAATGGAAGAAACACAAAATAACTGTCAGTCTCCCTCAGTCTGGTGCTCCATGCAAGATCTCACCTCGTGGAGTTTCAATGATCATGAGAAAGATGAGGAATCAGTCCAGAACTATTATCGGAGGATCTTATTAATGATCTCAAGTCAGATGGAACCATAGTCACCAAGAAAACAATTGGTAACACACTACGCCGTGAAGGACTGAAATCCTGCAGGAGGAGGAATGCTGCCTATGACCCCAAGAACACCATCCCCACCGTCAAACATGGAGGTGGAAACATTATGCTCTGGGGGTGTTTTTCTGCTAAGGGGACACGACAACTGCATCACATCAAAGGGATGATGGATAGGGCCATGTGTCATCAAATATTGGGTGAAAACCTCCTTTCCTCAGCCAGGGCATTGAAAATGGGTCATGGATGGGTATTCCAGCATGACAATGACCAAAAACACACAGCCAAGGCAACAAAGAAGTGGCTCAAGAAGAAGCACATTATGGTCATGGAGTGGCCTAGCCAGTCTCCAGACCGTAAAACCCATAGAAAATCTGTGGCAGGAGCTGAAGGTTCGAGTTGCCAAAAGTCACCCTCGAAACCTTAATGACTTAGAGAGGATCTGCAAAGAAGAGTGGGACAAAATCCCTCCTGAGATGTGTGCAAACCTGGTGGCTAACTACAAGAAATGTCTGACCTCTGTGATTGCCAACAAGGGTTTTGCCACCATGTACTAAGTCTGCTTTTCACTGTTAAAATACACCTACCATTAAAATTATAGACTGATCATTTCTTTGTCAGTGGGCAAAAGTTCAAAATCAGCAGGGGATCATATACTTTTAGCAATAGAAATCAAAAAGTATGGCTGCACTCACGGTCTTGTCATAATTGGTATTCCTTTATTCCAAATACATAAGCTCCAGATAGATTGACGTTACAGTCCACACAGGGACTTTCATCAGGATCAAGATACTAAGCATTAAGGCATATATACATACCGTATATACTCGAGTATAAGCCGACCCGAATATAAGCCGAGGCCCCTAATTTTACCCCAAAAAACTGGGAAAACTTATTGACTTGAGTATAAGACTAGGGTGGGAAATGCAGCAGCTAATGGTAAATTTCTAAATAAGATTAGATCCTAAAAAATTATATTAATTGAATATTTATTTACAGTGTGTGTATATGATGAATGCAGTGTGTGTGTATGAGTGCGCAGTGTGTGTATGTGTATGAATGCAGTGTGAAGTATATGAGTGTGCAGTGTGTATATGAGTGCAGTGTGTGTGTATGAATTCAGTGTGTGTGTGTGAGTGCAGTGTGTGTGTGTGAGTGCAGTGTGTGTGTGTGAGTGCAGTGTGTGTGTATGAATGCAGTGTGTGTATATGAATGCAGTGTTTGTGTATGAGTGCAGTGTGTGTGTGTGTGATGCAGTGTGTGTTTGTGTTGCAGAGCCTTGGTGGGGGGTGGGCATTTTTATAAAAAAAAAAAAAAAATAATAAATTAATATTATTAGTTATTATTTTAATTTTTTTGGTTATATTATTTTTTAAATTATTTTTTTATTATTATTATTTATATGTATATATTATTAATTAATATTATTTTAATTTTTTTGTTATATTATTTTTATTATTATTTATATTTATGTATTATTAATTTATTTATTTTGTTGTCCCACCTCCCTGCTTGATACATGGCAGGGAGGGGGGCTCTCCTTCCCTGGTGGTCCAGTGGCATTGGCAGTTCAGTGGGGGGAGGAGGGGGCTGGCAGAGCTGTTACTTACCTCTACTGCAGCTCCTGTCAGCTCTCTCCTCCTCTGTCAGCTCACACTGTAAGTCTCGCGAGAGCCGCACTATGACCCCGCGGCTCTCGCGAGACTTCCACTGGGAGCTGACCGAGGTGCTGACCGGACCGGCGCGGAGGAGGAGAGAGCTGACAGGAGCTGCAGTAGAGGTAAGCGCTCGCTGCCAGCCCCCAGTCTGTATTATGGCAATGTAAATTAATGTAAATTGCCATAATACAGACAGTGACTCGAGTATAAGCCGAGTTGGGGTTTTTCAGCACAAAAAATGAGCCGAAAAACTCGGCTTATACTCGAGTATATACGGTATGTCTTTTCTTTAATTTTTCAGACTCCACAATAAATGTAGATTTTTTATTTGGTTAAATACATTCAGTGAGGCCCCTTTAAGAGTAATTATATGCATGTTGCACACTCTAGTTATTTATAGACATAATTTTACATTTATTTTTAGATTTTAAACCAAATGTGATCTCTATTTGATTTCCCAAATATAAATTTGAGTTAAATTGGTGTTTTATGACAGAAATTCAGTTGTTATTAAATAGGCATTATATTAGTATTTCATAAGTAATATATATTTATAATTAACACCTATGTTGCTTAAAAAAGAAAATTTATATTATGTGGAAAAATAGCTTAATTAGTAATTCATACAAAAAAAAAAAGGAATTTAATCCCTTCTAAGTATGGGCACCACTAGACTTTCACAAATCACAAAGGTAGGGTGAATTGGTATCAGTCACGTGGTATCCAACTGCAAATGCTGACAAAACACCATGGGTGACTTGATTCTCTTCAATTACTAACCAACTGTAAGCCTGTGGTTTTTAAGTATGACCTAATAAAGAATTTTACTTACATCGATGTCACAATCTGTACCTTGGGGAAGATTATAGTCCCTGAGCAAGGTGAGAGTTGAGTGCCGCTTTCATCTCGTCAGTATATACAGGGAGTGCAGAATTATTAGGCAAATGAGTATTTTGACCACATCATCCTCTTTATGCATGTTGTCTTACTCCAAGCTGTATAGGCTCGAAAGCCTACTACCAATTAAGCATATTAGGTGATGTGCATCTCTGTAATGAGAAGGGGTGTGGTCTAATGACATCAACACCCTATATCAGGTGTGCATAATTATTAGGCAACTTCCTTTCCTTTGGCAAAATGGGTCAAAAGAAGGACTTGACAGGCTCAGAAAAGTCAAAAATAGTGAGATATCTTGCAGAGGGATGCAGCACTCTTAAAATTGCAAAGAACAATCAAGCGTTTCATTCAAAATAGTCAACAGGGTCGCAAGAAGCGTGTGGAAAAACCAAGGCGCAAAATAACTGCCCATGAACTGAGAAAAGTCAAGCGTGCAGCTGCCACGATGCCACTTGCCACCAGTTTGGCCATATTTCAGAGCTGCAACATCACTGGAGTGCCCAAAAGCACAAGGTGTGCAATACTCAGAGACATGGCCAAGGTAAGAAAGGCTGAAAGACGACCACCACTGAACAAGACACACAAGCTGAAACATCAAGACTGGGCCAAGAAATATCTCAAGACTGATTTTTCTAAGGTTTTATGGACTGATGAAATGAGAGTGAGTCTTGATGGGCCAGATGGATGGGCCCGTGGCTGGATTGGTAAAGGGCAGAGAGCTCCAGTCCGACTCAGACGCCAGCAAGGTGGAGGTGGAGTACTGGTTTGGGCTGGTATCATCAAAGATGAGCTTGTGGGGCCTTTTCGGGTTGAGGATGGAGTCAAGCTCAACTCCCAGTCCTACTGCCAGTTCCTGGAAGACACCTTCTTCAAGCAGTGGTACAGGAAGAAGTCTGCATCCTTCAAGAAAAACATGATTTTCATGCAGGACAATGCTCCATCACACGCGTCCAAGTACTCCACAGCGTGGCTGGCAAGAAAGGGTATAAAAGAAGAAAATCTAATGACATGGCCTCCTTGTTCACCTGATCTGAACCCCATTGAGAACCTGTGGTCCATCATCAAATGTGAGATTTACAAGGAGGGAAAACAGTACACCTCTCTGAACAGTGTCTGGGAGGCTGTGGTTGCTGCTGCACGCAATGTTGATGGTGAACAGATCAAAACACTGACAGAATCCATGGATGGCAGGCTTTTGAGTGTCCTTGCAAAGAAAGGTGGCTATATTGGTCACTGATTTGTTTTTGTTTTGTTTTTGAATGTCAGAAATGTATATTTGTGAATGTTGAGATGTTATATTGGTTTCACTGGTAATAATAAATAATTGAAATGGGTATATATTTGTTTTTTGTTAAGTTGCCTAATAATTATGCACAGTAATAGTCACCTGCACACACAGATATCCCCCTAACATAGCTAAAACTAGAAACAAACTAAAAACTACTTCCAAAAATATTCAGCTTTGATATTAATGAGTTTTTTGGGTTCATTGAGAACATGGTTGTTGTTCAATAATAAAATTAATCCTCAAAAATACAACTTGCCTAATAATTCTGCACTCCCTGTATTGCGCAATTCAAGTTTTTTTAAACTTAATGGAGGGATGATACTAGCTTACCAAAATGCATTGACACTATGTGATATAAACAAGGGGCAATATGTGGGCCCCCATAGGAGTTTATGGTGGTGGTCTAATATTAACAAGCCATACTGCGCAATAGGGATTTAAAAATATTTTCAGATACTACTTTTCTTCTGTTTAACCTATAAAGTGCTGAAATCTTTAAAAGGAAGACTTTTTGTGTTTAACCCTCTAACTTCCTTTTCGTTGGTTATCCAATCTAGTGCTTGTACAATCAATGGAAGATTCTTGGTGTTTAACCCTTCCAGTGTTGGAACTTCCTTATAAAAACACTAAGTGACTCACATAATAACACTGGGATTTATCTCTATTTAGAAATTGGGTGCTATTGATCATCATCTTCTATTATCAAGTATTATTGTTTATTTGATATGAAATCAAGTCTGTACTATAGTATTTTGCGCTAACTCATATTTGTATTACTTAAAGCAATACTATATGTATACAAATGTGTATTTATTACATTATAGTTTATAAATCTCACTTAGGCCCCCCTTTCCTCCGGGTAAATAAAGTGATTTACCCACCTTTTTCCAGCGCGTTGGGGGTCCCGTCATGGCCTGCCCCACCCACGCTCCATCCCCTTGGCCAAGATAATAAATTCTGATGATCTCAGCCAATCCAGATCTCAGTAACTTGTCTTGTAAACTAATGCTTATTTTATAGTCATACTAAAGTCATAGTATGACATGCATGTACAACAAAGACAATAACTATTTGTGCACAGGTATGGACATGCCTTATTATTATTGCTTTTTATAATGACAGTTTATTAAAATGTAACGTCAAAGAGCATTTGTTGTTCTAAAATATTACAAGAAAATAACATTCAGACAAGAGACATTTTAACCTAAAAATAACATGGGTTTATTTGATTAATCCAGTTTTTCAATCTAAAGATTATGCTAGATAAATATAGATGATGAGTAATATATTATTTTTAAAACACCTTTTATAGGTTGCTTCTAGCTACAAATAGTACCCTACGTGTTTGTCTTATGATGCCTTGCAATGTGTCTATCAATTATGAGTATCTCTGATGATAAAAACAAATATAAATAATTGTATGAAAAACATACAATATTGCATCTTTCCTAATAAAATATTTTATTATTACTGGTGAGTAGCCAAGGTAAGTAAATTTCTGTATATATATATCTCACTGTCTATACATTTGCCAAGCATTTTGATGACAAAAATAAACAGAAAAAGAAACAATTCAGCTTAAAGCAATCAGAAAAATAAAATATGTTTAATGTAATTTCATTTAAATTTGTGACTTAAAAACTATAGTAATGCTGATATAGAAATTGGAGCAATGCACCACCTGTGTAAAAATACATATGTATGCAATTATAGCGTTACATTTTTGTTTTTACTTAACTATTATTACCTGAAAAAAATTATAAATTGTGCATGACATGTAAGCTTAATTTCAAAATTGATTAACCTATTTTCCAGACAGAAATCAGGGTTGCACTTCTTACTACACCATCATCCTTTAATTGATTGAAGTGATTTAAAAGCCAGTATGTTTTACCTACACATCAATACTATTATTTAAACAAGTGATTTCATTTCTAGTATACAGGCTATAACCTACTGCTTATAATATGTAGTATTAATTTACTGCTTAAAATATAATATGTAATATTCATTATTTAAGGAAAGGAATGACATATAATGACATTCTTTAATGCCAACAAATATATCACTGTTTACCTATATAAAGTAATAATATCACCTATACCACAAACTTGTCTAAATTAAGGTGTAAACATATTCTGCAACTTACTGGGTAAATTATTTAATATAAAAATCATCTTAATTGTTTTATCCAGTGTGGATTTCCAAATAAATTATCGATTTATGCTATTCTAACATCTACATCACCTAATTACTTGGTTTAAAAAAAATGAATATTTCAGAAATAATGCTGAAATGGAGAAAGAGTTTTCATACCTCATTATATATATATATATATATATATATTATAAAGTCGCCATTCTAAGATTTTACATAGTGTAATTTTTATAGACTCTTAATCGGATAATAGACCTCATATTATACCATACCTTGAGCTTTATAAAATTATCAATGAAATGTATGGCTTATATAAAAACATATAGGATTTATTTATCTAAGGTGTTCTAAAAAAATGGAGCAAAGTGCTAGAAGTAGGGCAGTAACCAAAGGAAACCAATGAGATCAGGATTCATATTCTTTTGGTGACTTTTTACATCTTAACAACATTATCCAGAACACAATATTTTGGTAAGTCTCCTCCATAGTATGAAGTCATTAGAAAATTTTAGTCACCCTTTAAATGGTCTTAAGTTAAAGTATGTTATAGTATGTGTTGCACCATTCAATGTTCAATATAGGCGTAGGGAAAGGTAGATGAGCTATACTACATGTCTTTTTCTTTCACTCTTTCTGGGCCTGTTGATGGTTAGCAGGTGGCTCCCCACTATTAGCTTCCGATTCCTCGTCAGACATAGTTTCAAGGTGGTATACCTGGCGGATTGTGCGTGTAGTGAGTTGAATAGGAGCCCGTCTAGAAAAAGATAAAGAAGATGTAAAAACAATTATTGGGCCATTCTCATTAAATAAATGTATTATGTACCTCACACAAAAATAATCAATGTCTAAGCATTTAATTATAATTTTTTTTAAATTATTTGAATTTTTACATTATGAAAAAAGACACAAAAAAAACAACAAAACTTTGTATAAAGGTATTACATGTTGAAATTCTGACAATAATTTATTTTCTAAACAACTTCTAGAGTGTGATATAGTTGGCCTTTGATTTATAAATATAATATAAATAAATAAGCCTAGGAATGACAACATAAAGTTAACCCTTTTAGTGCCACAGTGGAGAATAGCAAACTCACTGCTCTTAATTTGAACACTGAAAGGCACACACACATATTGTGTTTTCTAATAAAAAGAAACACAATAATTCTGGGTATAGGCCTGCTGAGTGCCCCATCCCACATCCTTCATCCCATTGGCAGATTTGAAGGGTAATACATTGGGGCACATAATACAGAAGTGTAAGAAGTAAATAATACAATATCCTATAAACATCCACTTATTAACTTACTCCAGAGGGCTTATTTTGCATGCTTTTAAGGAGTTTAAATATTGATACAAAATACTGCTTACCTCAACCTGCTTCTAAGTGTAGTGACTTCACGGTTCATGGATTCTGCTGATTCTGTCACATCCTCCAATTCTCTTTGCAGTCTTCGACGGTTTGAGTTTGCTCTAGACGCCTCCTCTTCAGATTCCTCTAGTTGACGTTTTAATTGCTTCATTCTGATATGAGCCTTGTCAAGCTATAAGAAAAGTTTATTAGCTATATCAAAATCCTAAACTAACTGCATTAATATAAGTTATGTACATATTTAGTGATCACCATCCTTCTTTTCCATAATCACAAAAAAGTAGTTTGGAGTGATTGCTTAATAAAATGTACTTATAATTATGGGCTCACACACACACCTACGTGCCTATGCAATTAATTGGTTTCTGAGATAAAAGAAAGGACAAGTATTAGGCACTGACAGCATGTGATGTCACACAATTCAAGCTAAATTGCACAATAATGATAAGAACTTGGAAACTTCATTTTCTTGAAATTTTTAGTAATTTCTTGTAGTATATCTTAGTATACATTTTTGCATACAAGTACAATTATTTATATAATGCCGACACATTCTGCACCACTGTAAACAGGAAAACAAGACAAACATTTTATTCTAACAAAACATGTTTGACATACGGAAAGAGTAGGTGCATCTCTTTCCCTCTTACGATGTTAAACACAAATTCACAAAAAATTAGTTCCTTTTTTTTTTTTAAATGCTTACTTTTGGGGTTGTCAGGTGCAGTAATGCTGGTAAAACAGGAGTTTTACTCTAAACTGAGTAAAGAGGTGGTGATCTCACACACATTCTTTCCAAAAGGAAGACGTTTAAGGATCCCCTTGTGCTGAATGTTGAGTGGGACATTTTTCTCCTATATGTAGCTGCCAGACGTCTTCTTCCCAGGAGCCTCTGTGCCTGGGAGTCCAGGCGTGGGAAAAAGGGACCGTCCCTTTGTCTCCCATACTCAGAAAAGCCCACCTGCGGACACCGAAAAGCCCGCAAAACTCGCCAGTGCCCCAGAAGTGTCCACACCAACCTCTGGGACCCACACAATGGTCTCCGTTCGCGGGGTCCCTGTGTGGAAAAAAGGCAAGGGAAGCATCTCCTTTCGGGACACAAATTCTTCCCATGGGGGCTGTTCGACTATACGACATGGCGGCCACCCAGGGTAGCACTCATTAATTACTTCCCTTGCGGTTTCACACTTATGTTGCGAGTGTGAACGCTCTAATTGATTGGCGTGAACATTCTAATGGGGCACTGGGGAGGCCCTCACTGGGGAAACGAACGAGTTGGGAAACAATCCACGATGCTCCCCCTGGCTGGCATTCATCAGTAAGAATGGCCGCCAGCCAGAGGAGCTTCCTTTGCGGTTTGCCACCACGTGGCGAGGTGTGAAAGTTGTAAACTAACATTCTAAATGGGGGTATCGGGATGGTCGGGGAGCAGGCAGAACATACGAAAAAGTGGGGAAATACATATAATATCAGACAGGCAATTCATGAACAGGCAGCGGTCCCACCACAATATATATATATACACACACACACACGTATATTCACACACACACACACACACATATATATTGTGACCAAAAGCAAGGAATTGTGCTGGAGGGAATCTATATACCTCCCCAGATTTTGCAAGGTTCCTACTTTGTGTAATTAGCCACAGGGAAATGTGTTATGTTAAAATGAATATTGCACTTTAAATATGTGTATATTTGGGTCCTGGGGTGGAGCACTTGGCGAGTAGGGTGGGCCAGAGCTCCAATCCACATGGAAGTTGCTTGGAACCTACAGGTGAGAAGTTCAGTTCCAGAGTTTCAATCCTGATTTACCTCACCTGAAAAGAATTGTTAATTACAGGTGCTATTAAGTACTCCCCTGCCAAAGGAGGAGAGAGATTGTGTTTGATTTCTGTGAGTGGAAACAGAGAGCTGAAAACCCTAAAACAGTAAGGTTGTTGTTTATGCAAAAGAAGAGCCCATAAAATAAGGCTCAATCTTCCAGCGTTATGGGATTAAGGATCCCACTACCTTCTTTATACTGCCAGGAGGTGGTGAATAATCCAATGTCCTCTCACAGGTGAGTATAAGTAATTAAAGTGCTTTATTAATAAAGTGCACAAATAAAGTAAAAAAAACAAGACCTTACAGTTGAAGGTGACCTTGTCAAGATAGTCTCCAGTATAAAGAAGGTAGTGGGATCCTTAATCCCATAACGCTGGAAGATTGAGCCTTATTTTATGGGCTCTTATTTTGCAATATCAATACTTGCTTTAAACAAGAAGATACTCCACCCCATATTGTATGTAAACTTTGTTTGATGTGAGGGCGAAGGGTGCTCACTAAGGTGTATGAGAATCTCGTTTTATTTCTTTATGTATGTGTTCCACTGGTAATACTGTATTCTTTTGAGGTTGCTGTTTATGTTTATGTTGGGAAATGGACAAGCCATCCAACCAAGTTAGCTAATTATTTTGTTTAGTTAGTGCTCAGAAGAGCAAGGATTTTGATTTATATATTTTGTTACAACCTTTTATACCTTACTGTGCATTTATTTTGGAACCACAATAAAAAGAGCAAGTCCTTTTACCTCATCCAGTGTGTGAAGTGTCTCTAAAGGCTGAAAAGACTGTGTGTAACACCCCAATCCCAGGACAAGGTACCAAGGGAAAGGAGTACTTTTGTCACATATGGTGGAGGATGCAGGCAACACACGACAAAGTCTGTAAGTAGGGAGAAAGACACTGCTGCGAAAATGGAGGATGTCATGAAAGCTTTGCTCCAGTCCCCTGCTGAACAGCAAGAGACAAACAGAAGGACTGCAGAGACTAATGCAATACAGCAAGAGAGCATTTCAATACTGCAGCAGCTTGTACTGGCTCAAAAGGAAAATACAGATGCTTTATTCAAGCACGTTGAAGCAGCACAGGTAGCAGATCATCAATTGCTCAGAGAGGAGCAGCAGCATGCCACATGTGCCATACAGCAAGAGATCCAGAGTCTATCACAAAGGCTGGCCAGGGATGCCACAGTATCACCACAATGTCCAAAGGTGATCAGAGTGAGTCACTACTTGCAAAAGATGGTATCCACAGATGATGTAGAGGCCTACCTGATGGCATTTGAGCGAACCGCTGAGCGAGAAGGTTGACCTGCAGTGGAATGGGCAAGCCTGCTAGCACCATTTCTTACTGGTGAATCCCATAAAGCATACTATGATCTGGAACCAGCGGAAGCCAGTGACTACAAGAAGCTGAAAGCAGAAATACTGGCACGCCTGGGGTTGACAACAGCCGTCCGTGTCCAGAGATTTCATTCGTGGTCTTACAGCCTAGATAAAGCGATTCGTTCACAGATGTTTGACTTGATACACCTTGCCAGAAAATGGTTGCTGCCAGAGATCAACTCACCCAGCAGCATTGTGGAGCAACTGGTGATGGAAAGATTCCTGAGAGGCTTACCTATTGGACTTCGTCGGTGGGTCAGTCAGAGCAATCCCCAAACAGCAGACCAATTGGTTGAATTGATTGAACAGTATATAGCAGCGGGAGAACTGCTTCAACCTCTTGGCCAAGAGAGACGCAAGAATCAGAAAACCTACAGCCCCAGCAAATCTGGTAAGACTGTTCCAGGGAAAAAGGGGTCTTTTGATGAGAGAACAGGGTTTTATTACCCAAGAGACATTGTTAAAAGAGAAAGACTTTGAGAGATGGGAAGAGCATACAAAGGAATCCAAAAGTACTAATTATGGTATAAAATGCTTTAAATGCAGAAATTTTGGGCATATTGCAAAAGACTGTCCTGAAAATGTTGAACCAATGGAGTGTAATTTTGGTAATAATTGGGAAGGAATTGCACTTTATTCACAGGTTGTATGTAGAGATGTCGCGAACCGTCCGCGAACGGTTCGCCACGAGCTGTTCGCGGCGAACTCCGGTCAGCTGACATGTCCCGGCCAATCTCCAGCAGACCCTCCCTCCCACATGGATGCTGTCCAGGAAGTAGGAGGGTCTGCTGGAGATTGGCCGGGACGTGTCAGCTGACCGCAGTTCGCCGCGAACAGCTCGTGGCGAACCGTTCGCGAGAAGTTCGCGGCATCTCTAGTTTTATGTTCTGCGGAAAAAAAATGGTTATTTTAATAGTCACCCCAGGGTGACTATTCAAATAACCATTTTTTTCCGCAGAACATACAACCTGTGAATAAAGTGCAATTTTATACCATGAATGTGGAGGGAAAAAATATACAGGCATTGCTAGATTCAGGGAGTATGGTTACCCTTCTAGACCAATCCTTATTACAGGATACTCATATGGTTAACTCTGAAAAAGTTGATATTGCTTGTGCACGGGGATATACATAACTACCCTGCAGATATTCGTGTTAAGACCCAGTGTGGTACTGTAAACTGCAGAGTGGGGCTGGTACCAAAACTGGCGCATGAGATGATTATTGGAAGGGATTTTCCCCATTTTCTAGACCTATGGGCCTGTTTTGAAAATCCATCAGATGAACAGAATAATGAATTTCCTTTTGCAGATACTCTGGCAGATGAGAGAGATAATGATGATGGGCCTAACAATATGCAGCACTCCCCAATAAAAACATTAGTTGGTGAAAACCCAGAGCTAACTAATGCGGGACCTTCTAGAAGCTCTGAACCAGAAATAGAGTTAATTGATTTAGAGGTTAGGCCTGGTAACTTCAGAAGTGCACAGTGGTCTGACCCAACATTATTGGTAGCCAGGAATAATATTTCTATAAGGAATGGATCCCCTGTCAATCCAGGGAATTATCTTACTTACCCTTATTTTGAAGTGGATAATGATCTGTTGTACAGAGTTGAGAAAAAAAAGAGTCCGATATTACAAAGCAGCTGTTAGTACCACAAGCCTATTGGCGCACTGTGTTAAACCTTGCACATAGCCATGTTTTGGGTGGCCACCTAGGGGTTGACAAAACAAGAGAGCGAGTTTTGAGGAGATTTTATTGGCCTGGAGTAATTGCAGCTATCAAAAACTACTGTTCGTCAGGCCCTGAATGTCAGGTCACTGCACCCTTTACGGCTTACCGTAGCCCTTTAGTACCCTTGCGTGTTATTGAAGTGCCTTTTGAACGTATTGCTATGGATTTTGTGGGTCCTCTGGTAAAATCCACTAGGGGGTATCAGTATATATTAGTAGTACTAGACTATGCTACCCGTTACCCTGAGGCAATACCAATGCGTACAACCTCAGCAAAGTCCATTGCTAAAGAGTTAATGATGATGTTTAGCCGCGTTGGGATTCCCAAGGAGATCCTTTCAGATCAGGGTACTCCATTTATGTCCAAGGTTACAAAGGAACTCTGCAAGCTCCTTCACATTAAACACCTCAAAACCTCTGTTTATCACCCACAAACCGATGGTTTGGTTGAGCGATTTAATAAAACGTTAAAAGCTATGCTGCGCAAAGTAACTGATAAAGATTGGAAAAACTGGGAATTTCTATTGCCCTATTTAATGTTTGCCATTAGAGAAGTACCCCAAGCTTCTACGGGCGTTCGTGTATGTCATATTTGCATATGGGTATAAGTGAACAGGGTTTATTCGGTTGGGACAGACTTTGCATATTCGGACCATCTCATGGCCGTTCGGTTAACAAAACGCTGTTCATATTCGATTATAAGATGGCTATATGTATTAGGGCGACATCTAGTGGCTGGACCTTTTATTTAGTTTTTCACCTTTCTCCTGGCTTCACTTTATCACCATATGTTCTGAATTGGGTTAAAATGTCTGACTGACCCCTGGTGGTCATAAGGGTTATGACATGTGGCATAATTACATTTAATATTTTGGCATTTGTTGCATTTTTTTAATTTTTTCTGTATCCCTTATTATTTGAAAAAGATAAAATAAAAAAGTAAATTGTAAAAATATTTTGGCATTTGTCACAGGATAAGAAGACATATGTCATAAAACGCTACTGGTGCTAATTGTCCTGATGATATTGGCAGCAGTAGTTTGTGGCACGTATTTGCTTATTATGATATATGTCTTGAATAAACCCGGTGGTCAACAGGATGGTTACAAGAAATGTGTTACCTTGGCTTACGGGGTCTTTTTGTTTCTACTTCAGTTATATCTAAGCACGTACATCATAGCTACCCATTTAGGAGTATTAAATGTTTGGTAATTACATATTATGCAGATATTTACGGTCGGGCAAGGTTAGCAATTTAGAGATTATGATCCTCTTATGTGTCAGTATCACAAACATCCACAAGGTGCTGCTACCCTATCAACTGTTCACCTGTCATAGGTCAGTAATCACGATTAATGATCCTCTGGTGGACTCGCATGACCTGGGTCCTTATGTATATTTTTCTGTATTACTAGGCATAGGCATCCTTGATCATTTGGAGTATTTGATTCCAGTCTTCTATTGTTGGAATATTTTCCGGTAGGTATCTTGTTTTGCAGAGGGAATGATGGGTACATATTGATATAACCCTGGAAACTCACTATTACTCTCGTAGGTTACTACAGATCGCCTGTATCACCTTATCCTACTACCTTGCTATTTGCTCATAAGGTACGTCATGTTGCTCTCGATAAACTCTCCCACCCTACCTACCCTTTTCGGGTAATAAGCTAGATATACTGGCATACAATATAGCAGCCTCCAGGTATGTTTTTCTTGGCCTTCTACGCCTTACGTTAGTGGTCCCGCGAGGACAACACCCATCCTCATTTCGGAGGTACGGCATCCCCTCGGGCCAATTCATAGCTAGCCGCCTCGCTCGTTTGCATAGAGAGGGCCTCACCTGTCACTCCCATTCTGTCTTATGCTTTTACAAGTCACAGAGAGGCCATCACCCTGCCATAATGCCAATGGCCACGTACCCCACACGAGCCAAATCATAGATAGTGCCTCTCAAAGCCGCTTGGCAACTAGTAGGGCCTCACCAGTCACGTTCTAAGTATTTTTTTCGCCCCTTGGCATTAGTTACACCAGCCAGTGCAGTAGGACCCCAGATAACATATTATTTTTATGTTGTAGCATGTCACAAATACCCGAAGGCGGGGAAGATTTGTCCATCCCCAGCACACCGGCTAGATCAGTCACTCCATCCCGGGGGGACGACAACATGAGCCCTGCATCACTCAGGGCATGGACCATTCCTCGGATCACTGTCGAACTACGAAAGAGGAACATTCCTTTCCCAGCCACTGCTAGGAAAGCAGAATTGTACAGACTGTTGAATACACAGACTGATAACTCAGGGGCGGGGGAAGGGTCCAGTGGCAGCCAGTCTTCTGATCTGCATACTGTTTTGTCCTCAGTCCTCACCTCTTTGGGCCGTATTACCGATAAACTTGACAAGTTGGATGCAGATAGCCAGCAGCGGTCAGCTTCTGCATTAGGTACCCCAGTTGCTACGGCGCGCCTGGATCCCCTACCGGGTAATATACCAAACAGTCTTAAAAATCCACTTATTATTAATCCGGCACACATGGTGACTGCAAACACTAAGAAGGAAATCTTGGAAGGGAAGGATATCAATCTGGTATCTCTTCTTATAGCCTCGCAAGATGTCCTTGAAAATAGAACCTACGCATATGGGGATGTGTCGGTGGTATTAAAATCTAGGGACCAAAGGTTAAATCGAAAGCTATCTATCCCCGAATTTGTCTTAGCTTTCGGGATATACAGAGATGTGATTTGCTCAGTATATCCGGAAAGGAGAGAAGAGTTGGACCTTTATCTCCACAAGCTGGTGGATTTGGGGCACAAGTACGGTGGTACGTCCTTTTACGACTACCACTGTGCCTTTTCCGCGAAGGCGTCGGCCGCTCTTACTCAGTTTAATCATCAAACTGATTGGGGTGTGCTTGATACAGAGCTTTTTTGTCAGCACTTTGCGGGCCTCAAAACCCCAGCTTGTGCCATTTGCTCGTCCAACTCCCACACGGCTAATCTGTGCCCTAACTCTCCCAAGGTGAATGCCTTTTTTCCCCCTACTAATATCATGCCCACTGGGAGAACAGGCAGGGGGCTGAAAGACAAACTAGGCCGTGATATAGTGTTTTGGGGAAAATCGCAAGTCTGTAACAATTTTAATACTGGCACTTGCTGATACAGTGCCTGCAGACTGCTTCACGTCTGCTCCCAATGTTTCAGGGCTCACTCAAAAGTAATGTACCCAATAAATTATATCCTAAGCAGTATTTATCGTCTCTTAATGTCTCCCTACTGGAAAAGCTTTTGTGTGAGCACCCATCGCGACATCTCGTTGAGTTTTTGGTGGCAGGATTTACTTTGGGGTTTCACACTGGTATTATTTACATGCCTACGGGAATCTTGGAATGTAAAAACTTGCAGACAACCCTAGCAGCTCCAGACACTATAAACCTACTCCTCCAGAAGGTTGACCAAGGTTTCTTAATAGGCCCTTTCGTCTCCCCGCCTTTCGCGGTCTGGAGAACTAATCCCATAGGACTGGTCACTAACAAATCCTCCAATAAGCAAAGGTTAATTCTCGACCTATCTGCTCCCCATGCATCACCTACCCCAAGTCTCAATTCTCTTATTCCATCAGAAGAATTTTCCCTCTAATATGCGACCATAGATAATGCCATCACTGCCATCCTCTCTGCCGGGGTAGGGGCATGGCTGAGTAAAACTGATATTGTAAACGCCTTTAAGTTACTCCCTATCCACCCTTCCCTGTGGCATTTACATGGTGTTAAGTGGCAAGGTTCGTATTATTTTTTCACACGCCTCACGTTTGGTTCTAAGAGCAGCCCCAGGATTTTTGATGTATTTGCTGAGACATTGTGCTGGATGCTGCGTAACATCTGTAAATGCCCAACCGTGATACATTACCTGGACGACTTCCTGACCATAGAAAGGAACCTGGTACCCCCTAGTAGCCTCCTGTCCATAACGCGACTGTTCACACAACTAGGGGTACCTGTTTCACCAGCAAAGACTGAAGGTCCAGATACGATCATCAACTTCTTGGGAGTGGTGTTCTGTACATATGCAGGCTAGCCTCCCCGGGGAGAAGAT